TTTTTCTTCTTCTCGGATTTGTTGTCTGTCCGAGAGTAGGTGAGCTTGGACTTTAGAACGTACGAGTTTAGCAAGCCCTTCTCGGGCAACTTATCCAGAAACCACTTCAAATTGTTGCAGTCGTTTGTGTCATGCCCCACATCTTTGTGGTAATGATAGTATTTTTTCTTGTTGTTGTACTGGGCTGACCTTCTCAAAGGCTGAGGCTTCTCGAACTCGAACTTGTCTTTGATCTCCATCAAGATTTAATAGCAATCCTTGTTGAACTCGAACTTGGCTTTCTTTGATTTCGTCTGTTGGCAGTCGGCCACCCAAACTTCTTTTCTTTTGTTGCCTCCTTCCTTCTTTTTGCCGACCGAGTCTTGCCAAGAAGGTTGTTTCTTCTCGACCCCTTTGGCCAGCTCTTCTGATTTCGTAAGAGAACAAAAATCAGCTGCCTCTATATATGATTCGACCTCCCGCAAAACACCTGCGTATGTCTGAATATTTTTCCTAACCAAGTCAAATTTGAAACCATTATGCCTTAAACCTCAAAGGAACTCCGAGTAGGCCATCACATCTGACAAATTCTGAATTTGAGCTTTCTCCTAATTGAACCTCTAGACGTACGAGTGCAACCTCTCTTTCTTTCCTTGGACAATGGTCGCCAAGTTTAGACTAGTCTTTCGGGGTGGAATATTATAGGAAAAGTTCCCAATAAATAAAAAACCGAGAATTGTAAAATAATTGATGCATCCGGCCAGCAGACTATTGAACCAGTTTTGTGCCACACCCTTGAGGGTGGTCGGAAAGCATTTGCACCATGTGGCATCATCCACACTTTTCAAGTACATCAAGTTTCTATACGAGGTGACGTGCTCTTCTAGGTTGCTCGTACCATCATAGGCACCCACAAGTACACTCTTCACTTTTGCTGGTTGGGGAGAGTTGAGAATTTCATGATAAAACGGAGGCGGCTTGTCACCAAGATTCAACAAGCGCATTTTCCAATCGATGGGCTGAGGTTGTGCGGCCAATCCTCCCAAGTAAGCTGCCTGGTCGTACGGTTGGCCATACTGCTTGTACTGTCCAAAGATAGAGGGAGAGTTGAGAATTTCATGATAAAACGGAGGCGGCTTGTCACCAAAATTCAACAAGCGCATTTTCCAATCGATGGGCTGAGGTTTTGCGGCCAATCCGCCCAAGTAAGCTGCCTGGTCGTACGGTTGGCCATACTGCCTGTACTGTCGAAAGATAGAGGGAGCATGCGGCAGAATGGTGCCATAATTCTGGGGCATCTGATATTGAACTGGTTGAGTTAGAAGAACTGGAGTTGGAGTACAATGAGCTTGAGTTCTGCTTGTCTTGGCCGAGCTGGTATGCTTGGAGAGGGTGTGGTTTGAGAAATCATTCAGCATGGTAGGAGTGGAGGCAGTGTTCGAGTAGTGTGCCCGCTCCTGCCGCTTGTACCGGAGATAATCCCTCACATCCTTCCAGCGTTGGGACGGCTCAGTTAGCTGCCTCAGAGGCTGCTCGATCTGCCCCCCAACCGACTGCGTTTTCTCAAGGAGCCTAGACAAGTTCGTCCGAGGCACCCTTGGTGACCTTGCATGTCGTCAGAATGGGGTATTCCCAACATCTGCAGCATTGACCGCCTTGCTCTGAGTTTTCTTTTGAGCACCTTCTCCTTCCCTTGTGGACAGCTGTCTAGAAAAAGAAGGGATCTTACTCTCAAGCTCCATTCAGAGCTTGCTCAAAGCGGCCTTTAAGGAACCAGCAGTCACCGAAGGATCCTCGGGCTCATGGAATGAAGCAGTCAGAGGATCACTTGTGTTGATTGTAGCAATGAGATTCTCTACATGTCCGTCCTCACCAAGACTAGGTGTCTGACCATCTTTAGCCATTTCAAACGAGTATCCCCACAGACGGCGCCAAATGTTTCTGGGTTTTTAGGAATCCTTCGGGATACTGGTCTTGAACACGGCCGGATGGATGCGGACACCTGCAAAATAACAAATATTCCGTTTGACGGAATATTCGCCTCCGACGATCAAGTTAGTGACCGAAAACGGAATAAATGTAGAGAGAGAAAGTAGAGAGAAGTTGGAGCTTTTAGTGCTCATAGAATGATATATCTTAATCTACCCCTCCCATCATAAATGATTGGGGTATTTGTAGAGGTGGGAAAGTGTGCCCTTAAGGGTTTGATAACCTAGGATTGTGTGCTCTGATTGGCAGCGCAATCAAGTGCACGTGTCCATATAGGGCGCCGTTATGCGGCTTTCTCGGGATTAGGGCATCCTGATGTAAGGAGGTCCTTTTCTCTCATCTCAGGTGCTCTTTATGTTTGACACGTATCTTCCTGTAGAGACGCGTGTTGCCCGTTAATTAGGCCACGTATCACTATGGGATTGGACCACGTATTGGGGTATTTTTACCCTAAACACATGGCATGACATTTTTTTAAAAAAAACATTATCTGAGTAGTTTCCAACTACTAGTGTTTTAGGAATATGTGAAGGACCTAATAAATTTTTTTTTGGCCAATTAGATACAAATTAAGTTCTGCTAAGAGACTAAAAAATAAATTTAAAATTTATTTGAAGCTTTCAAATTTGTTGACTTTATATGGTTAAAGTGTTTCGTTTAATATATAAGGGGACTTGGACTGTTTAATTTACGAATCAAAGACTTGGTAATGTATCTGCACAAGAAAATACTCCATTATGGTAAGGTTTTGTTTTGTTTTTTTTTTTTTCGTAGGCATCTCACTTTACACATTGAATGCCGTATTAAGCTAAATTACCCATACATAGAAATAATAAAATAAAATTCCATCGACTCTATATTACATAATTCTATCACTTAATTAATAAACTGAAACAACTAATATTATGACATTGCATTTGTTCATTTGAAAACCTTTTGAGAACCTTGAAACACTAATTTATTTATTGTTACACTAGGTTAGTCCCGTTTGATGCACAGTTTTAGCAATAAAATTTTAGCTCTTATGTGCATAAAATATAAATAATTTAGGAAAAACATAATAAATAATGACCTCTTTTATTTGAGAAATTGAGCTAAAGCTAAAAAAATACAAAATAAAAAATAAATAAAGAAAAATTGATGTTAAATATTCTAATTAAATTCATAATTAAAATGAAATGTATGAAATGTTAACATTATATCAGTTTAGTGGTTTTTGTTTCATTATAAAAAGTAGAAAATTCAAACTCATACCATCACTGATAAAATGTAGGGGAAAAAAAGATATATTGGAGGGCAGAAGGAAAACGAAAGAAACCAACCACCAATTTTATTATTTTTTTACTCCATAGAACTTTTGTAGTTAGTAAATTCAGTCATAAAAGTTTTTAGGAAAGCGTATAATTAATCTACCTTTTTCAAATATTAGATTTATTTTGAAATGGAGAAAAAAAAGGATGATGTCATTTGAAAATTTGGATGGAAATTTGTTTATATGAAACTGACACATGGCAATGGTGGTATTATCATCGGTAATTACTTTAGTATTAATTATAGATTAGAACTTGAAACACTAAAAATACAACTAACATAACCAAATACTTTCCCGTCTGAAAAAAAACAAAAAAAAAAAAAAACATAACCAATTACTTAATACTTACCATCACTATGTTTGGCTAACCTTAACGTACCTAGCTAGCCATTGGCGCCCAATACAATATGATGCTTTTTAAAAAAAAAAAAATTACTTGGGGAATTTAATTAGAGATGTCAATTTGGGTACTTAGGACGGTTTTGGTGAGGCCGAGTAGAGTCGAGTCTATTTCAAAGTTGAGTCATGATAAATTATTGTGTCCGTACAAATTGAAATTTGAGTCGGTTTTTTTTTCTGGGTCAGATCAGATTGTGTAGGTTGAGCCATTTTTGGACATCTCTAAATGTAAATCTAATATTACCTTTTTTAAAAAAAAAAATTTAATTTTGAGAGGCTTCCAAAATCACAAGTAGTATATTGTTATAACTTTTTAATGAGTCTCACACTAATTAATTATTAAGCTCACAAATTTGTTGACTTTTTAGAGAGAAGATAAGATCGTTACATGTGCTTTAACTCATATCTAAGGGAGTGTTTACCTATCAAAGACTTGCTATGAGTTGCACACTTGCACATGAGAAATAATGATTGAATATATTTGTAAAGACTAGTGAGATCCAAAAGAGATTGTGACGCAAACGAGATTTAATCTCATATATTAAGTATTATAGAATATTAACCAAATACACTAGTTAACGTTCACAAGTTAATACACACTCTAAATTACTCATTAGTTATGTTCACAGATGCATAACCATCATTTAAAATAACATCGCATCATGAATTGTTTTATAGACTTCAAAATCATAAGTTAGCAAAATCCAACACAAAATATCGAATTATTTTTTGTTTTATTTCTTTATTTTATGTTGGACTTTTTGTCAGAAACTATCTATTAAAAGCTATTTTTTTTTTGAGAAACTAACTAATAAAAAAAATATTTTAAGAAACTACCTATTAAAATAAAAATGTTGTAAAAGAATACCCTTTCACTGGATTTTCACCCACTTGCCAATCACGTGAATTTTTAAAACCTATTTTTTTTCCAAGCCCCACCAACAATGCCACCTATCACGTGACCGGCCGAGGGTGGTCAACGCCGAAGAAATTAGTCAAAGACGAAAATCCGACGAATAATAGTTTATTACAAGATTATTTGTTTTAATAGGTAATTTCTTACAACATTTTTATTTTAATAGGTAGTTTCTTACAAAAAAAAATTATTAGGTAATTTCTCAAAAAAAAATTATTTTAAGAGATTTCTGACAAAAAGTCTTTTTATTTTTGTATTTTCTATTGTCTATTTCGTGAATGGGTTGCTTATTAGCAATAATATTCTGTATATATTTCCGAGACTCCGAGTATTACGACGAATGAATCCAAATATATATACTCATATATTCTACCAAGTAGACAATTAAGCAGCTAAGTATGATTAACCACTTGGCCAATTGTTTATTGACAGCAAGATTATGGCCAATATTAATCAATTAATTAGTATGTAATTCCATGTATAAATGAAGCTCATTTTCCACACAACAATCACAACAAAAGCCTAAAACCACCAAACCTAGCTAAACACACACAAATACAAAGAAAAATGGCCCTAGACGATGGTAGTCGTTCTGAAGGCGGTTGTGCAAGGGCTAAAAGCTTCACATTACAGCTCCTAACGGGGCGGTTTTTCATGGCATTTACAACCATTATAATCCTCTCCTTCATTGGTACCTCCTATATATTTGGTCTATATTCAGGTGACATTAAAACAACTTTAGGGTATGATCAAAGTACCCTTAATCTCCTTAGTTTCTTCAAAGACCTTGGTGCTTATGTTAGTGTTCATGCCGGTTTAATCATGGAGGTGGCCCCACCTTGGGTGATCCTCTCACTTGGTGCCATGGTTAACTTTTTCGGCTACTTCATGATCTGGCTTTCGGTCACTCATAAGATCTCCCGCCCTCCAGTTTGGCTAATGTGTCTTTACATCACCATTGGAGCTAACTCCTTAGGGTTTGCCAACACCGGGGCTGTGGTGCCCTGTGTCAAGAACTTCCCTGAGAATCGAGGCATTGTGATTGGGCTTTTAAAGTCATACATTGGTTTAGGAGGCGCTGTTATGGCTCAATTATACCATGCCCTATATGGTAATGATACCACCGCTGATGGGGTGATCTTACTCATTGCTTGGCTACCCGCGCTTGCTTTGTTGCTCTTTGCATTTAGTGTTCGAGTTCTTAAGGTTGTTGGTCATAGACAGATCAAGAGAGAAAAGACATTTTTCAATGGCATCCTCTATATATCTTTGGTCCTAGCAGGGTTCATTATGGTTATGATCTTAGTGCAAAAACAAGTCGAGTTTAGCAAAACGGGTTATAGTGTGAGTTGTGTTTTCATCATGGTTCTCCTCATACTCCCTATATTCCTAGTCTTTAAAGAAGAGTTATATGCTTTTTCGAAAACCAAGCTTTATAATACTCCCACTAATACCCTCTCTGAGTTGAAGATCGTGCCTAGTAGCGATGAATCTCCATCAACAAATCAATCTAATAACCCTAATAATAATAATAATAATAATAATAATAAAGGAAGTAGCAATGTAGAACATACAAAAGTGTCATGTTTTCAAGATGTGTTCCGTCCTCCAGCTATGGGGGAAGACCACACCATCTTACAGGCCACGTTTACTATTGATATGATGATATTGTTCCTTGCTTCAATATGTGGCTTAGGAGGGAACCTAGCAACAATAGATAATCTAGGTCAAATTGGTACATCATTAGGCTACCCTAAAAAAAGTATTAGCACCTTTGTGTCATTGATTGGTATATGGCAATATTTAGGGCGTGTGTTAGGAGGACTGATTTCGGAGCAGTTATTAAAGTACAAATGGCCTAGGCCTGCCAGCCTTACCATCGTCCTCTTTATTTCATGCATAGCTCATCTTCTCATAGCCTTCAACGCGCCGTATGGCCTCTATGTAGCATCAATTATCATGGCATTTTGCTTTGGTGCCGAGTGGACTTACCTCTACTCTATTATATCTGAGCTATTTGGGCTCAAACATTATGCTACATTGTACAATTACGGCTCACTGGCCGCCCCATTAGGGTCATACATTTTTAACGTGAGGGTCGCGGGGCATTTGTATGACAAGGAAGGATTGAGACAACTCGAGGCGTTAGGGTTCACGAGGAAGCTTGGGGAGGAGTTGAAGTGCAACGGAGTCAAGTGCTACCAATTGGCCTACATAATAATCGCGGCGGCTACTTTCTTCACCGCCCTTGTGTCTTTGATTCTTGTTGCTAGAACTAGGAAGTTTTACAAGGGGGATATATACAAGAGATTCCAAGAAGATGAGAATAATGTGACATTAAATGTGTCTTCTGGCAGGATGGAAGAAGAGAAGAATTAATTTTTATATTTTTTTACTTAATTGATCGATTTCTCATTTGTTTATATATATTCTATCATTTACTTTTATGTACAGATCGAGTGGATTAATATAGTAAGTTTATAGTCCATTCTTTAATATACTTCCCAAAAGAAAAGTGTATTTATTTATTCAAATTTTTTCACAATAGCTTCTTCCTCTTCAGGATAGCTTTCTTGGCGGTTCCTCTTCGCTGCTATGGATGTCTAAACATGCTTCGCTTTATCGCTTTTGTAGTACTTGTTCCAATACCAGTTTGCATCATATTTCCTTTGTTGGTGTTTTCATAGTAGTTCGGCTTTTTAATATGTTAGTCTTTCATTTCCCTTCCATCAGTACCATATTTGCCCCCCTTTTGGTAATGGTGGAATGGGTATGCTTTTGATGTAATGGCTGTTTTAAGCCTTAAAGGCCAGTAATATATTAGTCTTCATTTTGTGTTAAAAAAAGTTGTGTCACAATAATTTATTATGGTCTTTAGTTGCTGTACAAAAAGAAATTTTTAGAGAAGAGAGAAAGAGAGGATGGAACCAATGCCTGATCCCTGGACCTACAAAAAGATATTTAGGATGTTTTGTGTGCGGCTGGTCACATAATGTGGCCGCTTACAAAATATCAAAGTAATCTCTATAATATTGACCGTGTAACTCATATAACACTTATTGAGTAACCCTTGTAACACTTATCAAGTAACCCTATAATACTAATGAAGTAAGCCTTATAGTAGATTGTCACACCGTGTGGTCAGCCACATATAAAAGTAAATGAAAGAAATTAATTAAATGAAAATTCTAATGTCCCTTAATTGAGACAGTGCATTACAATAATTGACTTAAATAATCTCTTCTTTAGCAATTAATTATTTTACAGGGGTTAAACCCAGTTCATTCTACAAGTACACGTATCAGTTCTTCATTAAAAAATTTCCCGCTTAAAATAATTTATAAGCTGTTTTAAAGTTTATTATTTGAGAATCAAACGAATTAATTAATTAATGGCGAGGCTGTCATGTTGTGGGCACCATGTTTGCTATATTTAGTTCATAAGAATTGACTTTTCATTTTTTTTAATCAAAAAATTAAAGACATGAGTAAAAATTAAAGACAAGAGTAGAATGTAGTGGATTAAGCTGAGTTTGATGGCTTATTTAGATTAATTTAAACTTCCCGGCAATAAGAAAGAGATACAGAGGGATTAGTTTAGATATTCAAATATCTCAAAATTTCTAATTAAGCAATAATAAGTTGCCAATAGCCCTAATATTATATACACGTGACCTTTGAAAAATGGAAGGGCTGAAGTCTTCAAAACAAATTGACGGCTTGTTTAATCAATTTCAAAAATCATAATTAGGCAAGTTGACTATATAGATTTAAAATGTAATATGCCAACATGGATCACCGAAGTTTGCATGTTAGAATATGGTTTTGAGAAATGTTACAAACAATGAGGAGAAAGCAAGGAAGAGTCGGATACATAGTCGTTAAAATTGATTTTGAGAAAGCCTATGATAGGCTAAATTTGAGCTTCATTCGGGAATCTCTATTGGAGTTGCGTCTTCCTCCAAATATTGTTGATTTGGTGATGATGTGTGTGAGTACGAAAAAATTGAGTATTTTGTGGAATGGTGAACATACGAAATTCTTTTCTCCATCTCGTGGAATTCGTCAAGGAGATCCTTTATCACCCTACATCTATATGATATGCATGAATGGAGCGGCTAGCTCATTTGATACATAGAGAATGTCGGCTTGGTGCTTGGAAACCAGCAAGGGCAAGTGTAGGAGGTCCACAAATCTCTAATTTAGCATTTGCCGATGACTTAATTCTGTTTTGTGAAGCAAGCCCTGACCAAGCAGCACTTATGCGACAATGTTTGGATAATTTTTGTGCAGCGTCTGGTAGCAAGGTTAGCTTGGATAAGAGTCGTAATTTTTTTTCTAATAATACAAATTATGATATCAGAGACTCTATTTGCAGCAAATTGGGAACGCAAGTCACTGATGATTTCGGCAAATACCTTGGGGTTCCCACCATCAATGGCAGGGTAACAAAGGAAAATTACCAATTTTTGGTTGACAGGGTAAATAACAAATTGGCTAGTTGGAAATCTAAAACCCTTTCTATGGCAGGGAGGGCCACTCTCATCCAATCCTCTTTAACCTTGATACCCTATTATGCCATGCAAACTACCCGTATTCCAAGGGGTATTTGTGATAGGATTGATACTTTTACTCGAAGCTTCTTATAGGCTGTAATGAAGAGTAGAAAAAGATGCACTAAGTGGCATGGAACAGAGTTACTACACCTAAGAAAGAGGGAGGCTTAGGATTTCCATCAATGAGGCAAGTCAACGAAGCATTCTTAACCAAATTGGGGTGGCGCGTTCTTGCAGAGCCTGATTCTTTGTGGTCTCGCATAATTCGCCATAAGTACTGCAAGGGCCGTTGCGATGTGGAGATGTTCAATCATAAAGCCAATGCCTCCAATGCTTGGAGGGAAATGGTGGAAAATGTTGATGTGTTGCGAAGAGGTATTGATGTGGTTATGGGGAATGGTCGTTCCACCTCTTTTTGGAAGCACAAATGGGCAACTAAAGTTCCTTTGGTGGAATTAGTTATTGTAGCTCCTCCTGCCGCATCCTTAGATAAAATGGTTCGTGAGATGTGGGATGAGAACAGGGGCTGGATTTTCGAGTATTTTGCAGATTATTTGCCAGGTGATGTTTTGAGAAATATCTTGGCGCACGAACTTGTGGAGGATGATGATGCAATTGACAACATTTTCTGGAATGGTTCGTTTTCTGGTGGATTTACGATCAACTCAACAATTCAGATTATTAGGATGGACCAGCCAAACAAAGCCTCCACTACTGTGAACTGGGATTGAATTTGGAAGCTACAAGCCCCTCCATGAATTAGATTTTTTCTATGGCTTGCTTGCAATGAAAAACTTATGACCAATTCAAATCGTTTTTTTAGGCATATTTCTTCTGATCCTCGCTGCTACATATGTGGATATATTAAGGAAATCATGAGTCATTTTCTTAGGGAATGCCCGGGTGCTCGTTTAATTTGGAGGAAATTGGGAAGTAATGCTAGTCCGAATTGGAACATTGACTTGTTCCAATCCTAGCTAATGGACAACTTGAAGGATGGGGAAGCTTATGGGTTTCAAGATTGGCCTCTTGTGTTTGCCACAACTTTTTGGTGGTTGTGGAGGTGGAGAAATGAGAGGAGTTTTGAGAAAGACTCTGTTATTCCAGTAGATCAATTGAGTTTTATTATGACTCAAGTAGGAGACATATGTCGAGCTTATGAAGACAATCTACTGTGTATTTCCCCTTGTAAGAGAAGGCGGACTGAAGTTCCAATCATATGGATTTTCCCCAAAGAGAATTGGGTCAGGCTTAATACAGATGGGACCTCTAAAGGCAACCCAGGCCTTGCAGGGGCTGGAGGTCTGATTAGAGGACACCGTGGTGAATTATATGAGGTGTTTGCTATGAATTATGGTAGCTGTTCGAATACTAAGGCTAAGCTTCTTACTGTGATGCGTGGCTTAGCAGTGGCTTGGAATGGTGGACATCGCAAAGTCAACATCACAGTCGATTCGGAGATTGTTGTTCAGATGTTGGTTGATCCTATCCCATCCAACTCCCCTTTTATTCACATCATCTGCCAATGTAAGGCCTTGATCAAGAATCGCGATTGGGAACTTACCATAAGACATTGCTATCGAGAGGCTGATCGAGCGGCGAATTGGTTAGCAAATTTTGGAGTAACGTCAAACCAAAAGATAGTCTTCTTTGAGGCGATCCTGGAGGATCTTCGGGCCGTGTTATTGGAGGACCTACGACGAGTAACTAGGCCTCGGATGGTGACTTCTTCGTCGGCTTGATTTCAGTTGCTTTGAATAAAAGCTAGCTGGGCAGTTAGTTGCTTAGCTTGGTGTTTGTTTGTTTGTTTGTTTTCTTTTTTCTCCTTTTACTTCTTTGTTCTATTTCTTTTTCTGCTTTTTCTTTATTGCGATTTTGTAATTTTCTTGGGGCTTGCCCCTCGTGTTCACCAAAAAAAAATGGTTTTAACCCATTATTTTATAATAATGCACATTTTTCAAGATCAAAATATAAAAACATCCTCTTGCCTACCTCCTATTAGAAGTCAATTTAGTTATATATGTTAAGTTTGCATATTTGTAATGTTTATCTTGTTAGGAGTTTTAGGGAAGTTAGGTCTTGTGTGTATTGTGGATATATATTGTGGTGAATATCAATACAAAGGGTAAGCCGTTTTCTCCAATATTTCTTGAGTTTAACTTGGTATCATAGCCTCTCTATTTTCTAGAGATTTTCCGATTCAGGTTTGTTTCTCATATTTTTTTTTTATTTTCCACAAATTCATGAGATTACGGCTTCAAATATTTTTATTTTTTTTTGTTTCCACAAAATTTGGTCTAATCGAAATTAGGGTTTTGATTTAACCCTAATTTAACCAATTAATTGGTTGGGTGTGCGTTTATTTAGTGGTGCTTTGGCTAGGTGTGCTGTTGTTGAGTGTTGGTGCACTGCGTGTGTGGTGTGCTAGCATGGTGTGTTTGACGCTCTGTGTTGTGCGGGGTGTTTGGTGTGCTGTGCGCTGCTACTTGTGTGGTGTGTGGTGCGCTTGTTGTTTCTCCTGTGTGTGTTGCGTAGCAGTAGGTTACGTGGTGCGCTTATGTGTGCTGCGGTGTATGTTGTTGCTGTAGGTGTGTTGCGTGCGCTGCTTCTTGTTGTTTACTGCTGCGTTGTCGAAGGGTGCTAAGTCTGGTTCTTCGGCAGATGGCACTAAACTTGGTACGTATAATTCTATTGAGTGGCTTATTGACACTAGAGCTTCTAATCATATGTCTGGTAATATTGATCTTTTCACTGATTTACATGATATTTTTTCACTTGTTGGTTTACCCAATGGGACGAGCACGATGGCTACGAAGGAAGGAAGAGTTGTTTTGTTTGATAACTTAACTCTTGATAATGTTTTATATGTTCCTGCTCTTTTTTTTTATTATGTTCACTGACAAGCTATGCATTATTCAGGACTGCAGTTTGAGGACCCTGATTGGAGCGGGGGTGTAGTATGATGGGGTCTATATTTTTCGTCCGGTTCATGCTCGGAATCTGTAGTCGAATAAATTGGTTATTTTAGATGCAAGTTTGTTATGGCATAGGCATCTCGGACATCCGTCAATGCAAGTTGTGAACTCTCTTCCGTGAGTTTTTAGTAATAGTAGTACTCATAGTATTAACTCTGGTTGTTCTTTTGATTTTGACATTTGTTTTTTGGGGAAGCAACCCAAAACTCTTTTCAGTTAAGTATGAATAAAGCATCTGAATTTTTTTATTTAATTCCCTGTGATATTTGGGGTCTAAATAAGATTGTTTCGAGTTGTGATGCTCGTTATTTCCTAACCATTATTGATGATTTTTCTTGTGCTACTTGGGTGTTTTTGATGGTTGGTAAATATCAGGCTTCACAGTTGGTTCGTGAGTTCTATGCTTTAACTAAGACTCAATTTTTCCAGAAAGTGAAGGTGGTTCGTAGTGATAATGGCCAAGAGTTTTTTAGTTTGGGGTCTTTTTTGTGAAGAAGGGCATCTTGCATCAAACGTCGTGTGTTGACACGGCTCAGCAGAATGGCAAGGTTGAACGAAAACATCGTCATATTTTAAATGTGGCACGTGCTCTTCGGTTTCAAGCAAAGTTGCCCAAGTATTTTTGGGGTGAGTGTCTAGTGACTGCGGTTCATCTCATCAACCGTACTCCGACTCTGGTGCTAGATGGGAAAACTCCGCGGGAGTGTTTGTTTGGTCAAGTGCCATCTTATGACAGTATACAGGTTTTTTGTTGTCTTGCTTATGTTGCGAATCATCCTATAGTTAAAGATAAGTACAAGTGGCATCTTGCGTCAAACGTATTTTTGTTGGGTATCCTTATGGTAAAAAAGGATGGGGTCTTTACAATTTGGACTTGAATGAATTTTTTGTTAGTCGTGTGATATACACGTTTTGTACATAGATTTATCTCGACTTTTCATTACATTCTTGCATTGTTTTAGGCTCTTTTGAGCCATTTTTTGCTAACATTCTCTTCTCTATTGTGTTCGGTGTGTTTTTATACGTTTTACAGGAACTTGGAGTTTCTTGGATGATTTGGACAAGATTTGAGCGTTTACGGAGATGTTAGTGAGCAAGGATGAAGAACCGAGCTAAACATGAGCTAAGGACGAGAAGAATTTTCAAGCAAACAGTTTTCTTCATTGTGCCCGATCGGGCTATGCATGCCCGGTCAGATAGGGCACAGAAGGACTTATTGGTTGATGTTAATTAGAAAGAAAGAAGCTGTTTGGGAAATTAATCCCATGCGCCCGATCTGGCAGCCCATGCCTGGTTGGACCGGGCTCGTGGTGGTTGAGATGCTCAAAGGTACGAAGATCAGATGCAAGGTAGCCAGCAAAGATGGGCCTCGTGCCTGATCGGGCGCAACCTGCCCATTTGGATCGGGCGCCGAGGAGAGCAGTAAAGAAGAAGCAGCGCTTGTTTTGTTCCCACCTACCCGATCGGGCAAGTCAAGCCTGGTCAGACCGGGCAGGGTTATGCGCATTGCCGTTTTGTTATTTTCTTATTTTTACTTCATTAAGGGTATAAATACCCATTGTAATCATCATGAGAACACACATTATTATCTCCTTAAGTTTTATTTCTCTCTCTAGAACCCTAGTTTAATACTTTTTAGCAATTTAATTCCTAGGTTAGATTTGGGTATTGTAGATTAACAATTTGAGTAATTTCAATTAAAGCATCATTGGTATTCATCTCTATTCCTTTCTCTTTCAATTATTTTTGTTTTCAATTATGTTTTCCTTGATTATTATTGTTATTGCTTCTTTCACTATGTGTGAGTAGTTTTCATATTCCAAGATCTAGGGTAGCCCAATTATGATTGATGTATTAATTGATTCTTTAAATTCTCTAATCACTATTGCAATTGTTTATGCTAAATTGATTGTGATTATGCCAATACTTGATTAGAGATAATTAGTATTGTTATTATTCCATAGTTCTAATCACAACGAGAGTTGGGTTTTAACGGATTTGAGTAGATCAATTTAGGGTTTGAAATTCATCACGAAAGTAGTTGAATTGATAACTGGGAAGTGAAGTAAAGTATTTAATGTCTCTAATTTGCATGATTCCATGAGAATAGGCTTGATTGTGGTTAGGGAAGCCATTGATACTTGAGAGAGGTCCTTGGTATTGATTAGGGTTGCTTTTCCCCATGTTAATTGGATTTGTATGATAGGGGTAGATAGATAATTGCATCAATCGTAATTGTGGTGATACTTGATCTTAGATGTTTTAGTTTATCGATTCATTATATTCCTTTGATTTATTCTAGTTTTCCATACATTAGTTCTTAGTTATTTACATCATTGATTTGATTCTTGCTTAGTGATTATTTGAGTCTAGATAATTTAGGTGAACCTTAGTCTCTTGGGATTCGACCCTTACTTGCTCGACTACATAGTTGGGAGGAATAGTTAGGTTATTTTTGTTAGGTACGCTACACGCCTATCAAATTTTGGTGCCGTTGCCGGGGATTAACGGTTTCATTTGATTATTTGTGATTCGTTTTTGCTAAGCTTCGTTCATTACTTCGGCTATTTTCTCTTGTGTTTTTTATATTCTTTCTCTAGTTTTCTTGTTGCATGCCCACACGACGCTTTGGGTTAGATGATCTTGAACCATATGACTCTGAGATCGAGGCAACTATAAGAAGAAGGAGAACAAGAAATCGACGAAGGAGAAACGTGGAAGATGCCATGAAATCCCTCTTGGAGTACGGTATTCCTGATACGACTACCGGACTTCTCTATAGCATTGTTAGACCACCTGTGACGGCTCAGCCCTTCGAGCTAAAGCCACAATTCATTCAGTTCATCTCTAATGATTCATTTGCAGGCTCACCGCATGATTGTCCGGTAAGTCATATTGATAGTTTTCTAGAGAAATGTGATACAATGAAAATGAATGGTGTTACAGATGATTCTATTAGACTACGCCTTTTCCCTTTCTCATTAAGGGATAGGGCAGAGTGGTTAAGAGATGAAGGAATTGGCTCGTTCGATACATGGGACAAGCTAGTAAAAGCCTTCTTCGTAAAGTTTATAGGACAGGAGAAGACTGCTAAGTTGAGAAACGAATTATCCACCTTCAAGCTGTCATATGATGAGTCCCTATACGATGCGTGGAGGAGATTCAAGGGATTGCTGAGGCAATGCCCCCACCATGATATTCCTAAATGGATGTTAATCCAAACGTATCTACATTGATGCTGCGTCCGGGGGTTCTCTCTTGACAAAGAATCCAACTGATGCAAAGGAGTTAGTTGAGAAAATGGCGACCAATGACAAAGAATCCAACTGATGCTTGGGATAACCTTTGAGGAAAAGGAACCTTAGGAACGTACGGAGCAAGCGACTTTGGAGTTGCTTCCCTTGATTCATCCTCGACCTTAGCATTATCAATCACATTCTCACCTTCAACTACTTCTTCAATGACCTCCTTTGATGGCTCCTTGGTAGGAGAATCTTCCAATTGCCTTCCACTCCTCAAAGTAACAACATTCATATACCCTTTCTGTGGTTGCTCTGTCTTGCCCGGAAAAGTGCCCGGTGTCTTTAAGGATTGGCCAACTTGGTGGGAAAGTTGACTTATCTGATCTTCCATGAGCTTACTCTGGGCTTGTAACTGTTGAATAGAACTATTTTGTTGTTGGATGGAATTGTTGGTTGTGGAGATAAAGTTTTCCAACATTAGTTCAAGGTTGGACTTTTGAGGAGGTGGTTGAATAGGTTGTTGGACTAGAGGTGGCCTTGGTTGGAAACCTGGAGGTGCATTGTAGTTGTTGTTTTGAGGTGGTGGTGGAGGTGGATTTTGTTGAGCCTGGGTATTCTTGTAGGAAAAATTTGGGTGATTCTTCCAACTTTCATTGTATGTACTTGAATGGGGGTCATATGGATTTTTGGGGTTAGAGGTGTAGAATGCATTAGCTTCCTTAATCGACATCTCATTTGAACTTTGTGGGCAATTGGGTGTAATATGACCTTCCACATTACACAATTGACAAATCTTAGGTGAGCTAGTGGATGTTCTAGCTTGGAACCTATCGAAGTTGCTTGTCAATGCCTGCACAAAACTATTCAAAAGAGTTAAAGCATCAACATCTAATTTACCTCCTATTTTCACACTGTTTCGGCCACCTGGATGATAGTTATCATTGGCCGCCATTTTCTCAACTAACTCCTTTGCATCAGTTGGATTCTTTGTCAAGAGAGAACCCCCGGACGCAACATTAATGTAGATACGGAACTCGTGAGTTAGACCATTGTAGAAGGTTTGGATTAACATCCATTTAGGAATACCATGGTGAAGGCATTGCCTCTGCAATCGCTTGAATCTCCTCCACGCATCGTGTAGGGACTCATCATCTGATTGCTTGAAGGTGGATCATTCGTTTCTCAACCTAGCAGTCTTCTCCTGTCCTAGAACTTTACTAAGAAGGCTTTCACTAGCTTATCCCATGTATCGAACGAGCTAGTGCCTTCATCTCTTAGCCAGTGCCAGAGTAAGCTTATGGAAAATTAGATAAGCCAACTTGCCCACCAAGTTGGCCAATCCTTAAAGACACCGGGCACTTTTCCGGGACGGACGGAGCAACCATAGAAAGGGCATATGAATGTTGTTACTTTGTGGAGTGGAAGGCAATTGGAAGATTCTCCTACTAAGGAGCCATCAAAGGAGATCATTGAAGAAGTAGATGAAGGTAAGAAAGTGATCGATAGTGCTAAGGTCGAGGATGAATCAAGGGAAGCAACTCCAAATCTGCTTGCTTCGTACGTGCCTAAGGTTCCTTTTCCTCAAAGGTTAGCCCAAGCTAAGCTTGAGAAAAGTATGGTAAATTTATTAATATCCTGAAAAAGCTTCATATTAATATTCCATTTTTAGATGCTATATCCGCGATTCCGTCTTATGCTAAATTTTTAAAGTATATGCTTTCAAACAAGAAAAAGCTAGAAGAGAATGCTACAGTTGCTTTGACTGCAGAGTGTAGTGCTATTTTGCAGAATACTCTCCCTAAGAAATTTGGTGATCCAGGTAGCTATTCAATTCCAGTGAAGCTTGGAGATATTGAAATTAACAGGGCACTATGTGATCTTGATGCAAGTGTGAGTCTCATGCCCACTGTCCATCTGTAAGAAGCTGCAAATGGGTGAACTGAAACCCACACGCATATCCTTGCAACTTGCAGACAGGTCAGCAAAGTTTCCTTTAGGTGTACTTGAGGATGTACCTCTTCGTGTAGGTAAGTTTTTCATACCTTGTGATTTTGTTGTGATGGATGGAGGAAGATGTAAATGTTCCGATTATTCTTGGTAGACCTTTCTTAGCTACTGCAGGTGCAATCACTGACATGAAAAACGGTAAGAATACCTTTGAAGTTGGTGATGAAAAATTAGAATACTCACTTATGAATGTCATGGGTACTCCCTCCATGGGGGAAACTGTTTGTTAGGTTGATGTGCTTGATGAGTTGCAGAGTGCGCAGCTTCCTTTGAGAAAACCAGATGATGCACTCAAAATAGTGCTAGTAGGGAAGGATGATGACGGAGATTGGTAATCAAGGGAGTATGTCAGGCTACTAGAAGAAGCAAGGGCCAACCCAATCGCTAATCCAATCAGAGAAATACTTAGTGCAATGAGTATTGGGGAGAGTACTAAGCCTCCCGAGGTAGAGTTGAAACCTCTCCCTTCTAATTTGAAATATGCATATCTTGGTCCCAATAATTCATACCTTGTTATTGTCAATGCTGAACTCAAGGACACGAAATTGGAGCAATTTCTCAGTGTTCTAAAAACATATAAAAGTGTAATTGGGTACACCATTGATGATATTAAGGGTATTAATCATTTTCTTTTTTGTATGCATAAAATTATTCTTGAAAAAGATCATGCCTCCTCTACAGAACCTCAAAGAAGACTTAATCCAAATATGATGGAAGTAGTGAAAAAAGAGGTTCTTAAATTCCTTGCTGCAGAAATAATCTACCTTATCTCCGATAGTAAGTGGGTTAGGCCTGTACAAGTAGTACCCAAGAAGGGAGGTATGACCGTTGTCAAGAATGACAGGGGTGAGCTAGTCTCCACTAGGACTGTGACAGGATGGCGAATGTGCATAGACTATAAAAAATTAAATAAGGCCACCCGAAAGGATCATTTCTCCCTACCCTTCATTGATCAAATGCCTGAAAGGTTGGCAAAGCATTCCTTTTTCTGTTATTTGGATTGATATTCTGGTTTCTTTCAAATTCCTATTCGTCCTTGTGATCAGGAAAAGACTACCTTCACATGTCCATATGACACCTTTGCATATCGCAGGATGCCATTCGGATTATGTAATGCTCCCGCCACTTTTCAACGTTATATGATGGCAATATTTTCCGATCTTATAGAAAATTCTATGGAGGTATATATAGATGATTTTTCTGTCTATGGAACATCTTTTGATATATGTCTTGAAAATATTAAAAAGGTGCTCCAAAGATGTAAGGAAGTCAATTTGATTTTTAACTGGGAATAATGCCATTTTATGGTGCAACAGGGAATTGTCTTAGGTCATGTTGTATCTAATAAGGGTATTAAGGTAGATAAGGCTAAGATAGAAGTAATAGAGCGTTTACCCCCTCCGAATTCTGTAAAAGGAGTTCGAAGTTTTCTTGGTCATGCAGGTTTTTACCGTCGTTTTATTAAGGATTTTTTGAAAATTGCTCGACCTTTAACTGAGCTTTTAGCTAAGGATGTTCATTTTGTTTTCACTGATACTTGTCTTGAGGCTTTCAACAGGTTTAAGGAAGCTTTGATCTCTCCTCCTTCCATTAGAAATCATATGTGATGCTAGTGACTATGCAGTAGGAGCCGTTTTGGGGCAAAGAAAGGAGAAAAAGCTTCATGCGATTTACTATGCTAGCAAAACTCTTAGTTCTGCTCAAATGAATTATGCCACAACTGAAAAAGAGATGCTAGCTGTAATATATGCAATTTACAAGTTTCATTCTTACTTGGTTGGTTCTAAGGTTATTATTCATATAGATCATGCAACACTGAGATATTTGATGACCAAGACCCACGCAAAGCCTAGGTTGATTCGGTGGATTCTTCAACTACAGGATTATGACATAGAGATCAAGGATACAAAAGGGACGGAGAATGTTGTTGCAGATCATCTCTCCCGTCTCCTCCTTCACCCTGAGGATGGGGATGATATCCCTTTTGATGATTCTTTCCCTGCCGAACATCTATTAGCTTTATTGCAAACTGAATCAGCTTGGTATGCTAACTTGGCTAATTTCCTTTCCACAGGTGCAATGCCTCATGGCTACTCCTCTCAACAAAGGAAGAAACTCCTTCATGAAGCAAGGGATATTTTTGGGATGATCCATTCTTATACAAGCAATGCGCGGACACTATGATCCGAAAATGCATTCTAGAATTTGAGGTAAATCACATTATTTCTCATTGCCATGACTTACCTTGTGGTGGACATGCAGGCCCTTCGAAGACAATTGCAAAGATCTTGCAATGTGGATTTTACTGGCCAACAATGTTCAAGGGTACTTAATCCTATGTCAAGGCTTGCGATTGATGTCAATGGACGGGCACTATATCTAAGAAGAATGAGATGCCGCTCAGCAACATACTCGAGGTCGAGTTGTTCGATGTGTGGGGGATAGATTTCATGGGTCCGTTTCCCTCTTCCTATGGAAATCGTTACATCTTGCTAGCCGCTGACTATGTATCAAAGTGGGTGGAAGCAATAGCTACTCCAACCAACGATGCTCGAGTGGTAAGTAAGTTCTTCAAGAAAATTATTTTTCCACGATTTGGTATCCCACGTGTGTTGATTAGTGAAAGGGGCACACATTTTATGGAGCATCGATTCGAGGCAATGCTAAGGAAGTGTGGAGTACAACACCGGCTAGGAATTGGCTATCACCCTCAAAAAAGTGGCCAAGTCGAGGTATCCAATCAAGAAATCAAGTCCATTATTGAGAAAACAGTTGCAAGAACAAGGAAGGATTGGTCCGGGAAGCTAGATGATGCACTATGGGCGTACCGAACGACCATCAAAACGCCAATTGGTACCACCCCATATAGACTTGTCTACAGGAAAGCATGCCACCTGCCCGTTGAGCTAGAACATCGAGCATTTTTAGCCATTAAAAGCTTAAATATCGATGCTAAGGCAGCGGGAGAAAAGAGGTTGTTACAACTGAATGAACTTGATGAGCTCCGTCTCGAAGCTTATGAAAGTTCAAAATTATACAAAGAAAAAACAAAAAGGTGGCATGACAAGAACCTTGTAAGGAGAGAGTTCAAAGAAGGAGATCATGTCCTTCTTTTCAATTCTAGGTTGAGATTGTTCCCAAGTAAGCTTCGGTCTAGATGGTCGGGTCCATTCAAGATCAACAAGGTGCATCCCTACGGCACTATTGAGTTGGAAAATACAAGAGGGGAACCCTTTAAGGTCAATGGGCAAAGAGTAAAGCATTATCGAGTTGGTGACCCCATCGATGAAGGAGTGGACGTCACACTCTCTTCCCCATCACCAAGCCAATGAGTATCATTAAGGTTAAGCTAAAGACCTTGTAAACAAGCGCTTTCGGGAGGCAACTCGCTTTTCGTATAATTTTCCTTATTAGTTTTATTTCCCTATGTGTTTTTATGTCGTTTTTGTGTTGGTCTTGCTGTTTTTCAGAGAACATCGATATATAGGAGGAGCGAGATGCCGAGAGATTTCGTCAAGAGTGGAAGGGGATTTGCTCACTGCCGGATCTGACCGGGCAAGGTAAGCCCGATCGGGCACGAGCAACAAATGAAGGAGGAAGCTATTGACGAGGCAAAATTGAAGGCAAAGAAGCTAAACCTTCTCCGCCCGATCAGACCGAGCATCCAGAGCCCGATCGGGTGTGAGAGCATATTTTCTTGGAGATACTGCGTACTTGGCTTAGCAATGTAGCCCTCCTCCGCCCGATCAGACCGGGCTACGACTGCCTGATCGGGCAAGAGGGGGTAAAATTCCAGTTAGTTTTAAAAAAAATTAATAGAATAACAGTACCCTCAGTCCGGGCATAACTAGCTCGATCGGGCGCGAACAACAGCCAAGAAACGCAGCATCAACGCAACACAGTTACATAGGCAGCTTACCTCCGCCCGATCGGGCATGAGGAGAAAACTGCGAACTTCAGCATCTTAAACCCAATTTTTCCTTCTCCTTTTTCTCACTCTTTCAATCACTCTCATCCATCTTCTACTCTTCTCTCTCTAAAATTCCCAAATTGCTCAAACCCTGACTCTTTCAATCTACATAATCCTCCATCAAACCTCCATCAAAATTCTAAATTTCTTCAATCTCCATCCTCCTTATTCAATTCCTAACATCCACAACTATCTTTCTTACCCCAATTTCCCTTCTCACCAAAAAAAAAACCCATTTTTTTAAGTTAGAGAGAGAAACCATCAAACAACATCAATGGCTTCAATGTTTACAAGGAAGAGGAATAGAGGAGCACAACAACAACAAATGGACTTTGAGAGCATCCCGGCATACCCAAATATCCAGTTCATTCCCGAGTTCCAGAATCAAAAAGCAAGGTTTCTTGAGCTCCAATATAGGAAGGTAATTCCTACTCGGTTCATAGACCGATCCCTTATTGCTAGGCTAGGAATTGATAATGAATGTCGAAATTTGTTTTCTAGACTTGGCATGACTCAATTGTTTAATATGATACATTAAACATTTGAGGATATTACTCTTGAATTTCTTAGTTCATTTGATGTTGTGAAAGGTAGAGACGGTTTGGTTACACATGTTGTGTATAGATTAATGAATAAATCTCACCGCCTCACCTTAGAAGGCTTCGGTAGGAAATTTGGCCTCCCCTCTACGGGTTTGACTGTGCAACCCGATAGTTTTACCTCGAGGGAGTTATGGTTAGCAATGACGGGTGAGAACATAGAACCAATGCAACACGCCCGTGCTCATAAAATTCATCAACCGGCCCTTAAGATGTGGACTAGATCCTCGGGGTGGACAATTTTTGGTAGAATTGAACCAAACAATGTTCGGGCGGATGAAATAGCCATCCTAGGTAGCTACCTTAGGTTGGGAGATGAGGGGGAGGGGTTTAGGATGAACATAGCTCTTTTATTTGCCCTCCATCTTAGGAAACAAGCGGCGACTTTTACCACCCTCTAACCAAATGGCGACCGCACCAACATCTCCATTGTCCTAGGTGGCTTAGTGACTCACCTAGCGGTTAAGGAGGGCTTTGTAGAAGCCCAAAACCGCCCTGTACCAGGTCCCATTACCTTGGACCAGCACTACCTCACCACCACCGGCTGGTTGTTGGTGGAGTACGGTAGTTATAGCTGGCTACTAAACAGGAGCACTAGGCGGTCAATTACCTTACCCGGCCCCGGGCTTACTAGGATATAGCCCTACCAGCCCTCCTACCTACTCGAGGCCCGTGACGGCCCACCTCCTCCTGTTGCACCTACAAGGACCTATCACAAGAGAGAGCAGGGCGGCGCATCCTCATCCTCCACCGCCCCCCATATCCCTACCGACCGTGAGTCTATCATGGCCGGAATACAGGAGCTTAGGTTAGGTCAACAGGAAATTCGATTAGAACAACAGAGCTTAGCCTCCCGTGTTCACACCCTAGAGACTGACCTACGTCAGTCTATGTATCCTGTATATGATTTATTTTGCAGGTAGGGTCATATCCCGAGGGATGCTCAGCATCCCTCGTGGTATACCTACCCTTGTGTTATTGACATTGCAAGTACTAGCGGGGCGACTGGTGGTGTTGGTGGTGATGATTATGATGGTGACGATGGAGGTGATGACGATGGTGCTGATGATGATGAGTTCGCTTGAGGACTCAAGTATTTCCTACTTCCCACTTGTTGCAATGAGGACATTGCCGAGTGTAGCTTGGGGGAAGTTTGTGCATAGTAGCTTAGGTATGTTCTCTGAGTTTTTTTTTATTTGTTTTGGTTTGTTTTCTTTCATGTGTTTTGGTTTGTTTTAGTTTATTGCTTTTTTAGTTAGTTTTAATTGCTTTTTTAGTATTTCGAAATTTTGTTTTTTTTAAAAATGAAAAAAAATGAAAAAAATACGAGAATCATGATAGTGAATAGCCATTGACCTACTTCCTTGTGCCCCTATCCTTAATGCTAAAAAGGTTTTTATTTAATTTCGATTGAAAGACTTGCATTGTGGACTAAAGATCATGATTTGACCTTGAATTTGTTGATCCCTAGTAGGAGTCAAAGCTATTTAACCATGTATGATTTAGATGCTTGACTTTGTTAACTGTGAGGCTTGAACCTTATATATTCATTCATGTGTGTGTTTAGTTCCTGGTGTAGCATTGATCTTAGCTTTGATTCTAGACTCTTAGTAGTGTGTCGTAATGCATTGCACATGCATGTTGAAATGACGAAGGCCATGTTCATTAGGTGACCTCCAGACGAATTTAGAACATTCTTTCCCTTCTTGCTCACCCATGTTGTAGCTTGACTATATTTTTCATAAACTTCACAAAAATTACCCCTTGGCCCCAATTTGGTTACTTTTCCCCAGTCTAGCTTGGGGGAGCTATATTATGCGGTATTTTGTGTGATTTTAATTTCAAGTTGCAATTGATGAGAGACACATGAAAAAAAGAGAGAAAAGAAGGAAAACTAGCATGGAAGTTTGTTGAAAAAAAAAGAGAATAAATCGAAGAACAAGGAAAGAAAATCTTATACTTAAAATGAAAGAAAATGTCTTTGTTCTCGAGAAAAGAGAAAAAAGAAAGAAAAAGAGAAAAAAAAATGTTGATGAAAAGAAAAAAATTGAATAAAAGGAAGCTTGAAGTTAGAAAGAAATATGAAGAAGTAATGGGTGCTTTTATTGTAGTTGGGTTTGTGTTTTGTTGATTGAAAAATGGTGAATCAAGGTGTGACTCATTGCATTGGATAGCTCCCCGATTAGACTAATATAGCCCACATTTCCCAAATTTTTTCCTACCCATTCTTATTCCCGGCCTACGTTACAAGCTTCAAAAAGTCCTTCCGATCTTCGTGCATAACGTTGTGTTCATGTGAAACGAGTTTTTTGTCAAAATGCTGGAGTATATGTTGCGTTTCGAGTCGACATTAACTAGGTTGAGCGATATTATAACCCTCTACACACGCGAGTGTTGTGAGACGGGGGGATTGCATTGTTGGTGAGGATGGTGAGAGATCGAGCTCATTTTTAGCTCGCCACATAAAAAGTGTGTTGAGTGACCACTGATGTGAGATATTCTAGTTATCGATTCTTGAATTATACTTGGACACGTTTTGAGCGTTTATGGAGATGTTAGTGAGCAACGATGAAGAACTGAGCTAAACAAGAGCTAAGGACGAGAAGAATTTGCAAGCAAACAATTTTCTTCACTGTGCCCGATCGGGCTATGCATGCCCGGTCAGACAATCCCATGCGCCCGATCGGGCAGCCCATGCCCGGTTGGACCGGGCAAGTGGTGGCTGAGATGCTCAAAGCTACGAAGATCAGATGCAAGGCAGCCAGCATAGATGTGCGTCGCGCCCGATCGGGCGCCACCTGCCCAGTTGGATCGGGCGCCGAGGAGAGCAATAAAGAAGAAGCAGCGCTTGTTTTGTTCCCACCTGCCCGATCGGGCAAGTCAAGCCCGGTCAGACCGGGAAGGGTTATGCGCATTCCCGTTTTGTTATTTTCTTATTTTTACTTCATTAAGGGTATAAATACCCATTGTAATCATCATGAGAACACACATTATTATCTCCTTAAGTTTTATTTCTCTCTCTAGAACCCTAGTTTAATACTTTATAGTAATTTAATTCTTAGGTTAGATTTGGGTATTGTGGATTAACAATTTGAGTAATTTCAATTGAAGCATCATTGGTATTCATCTTTATTCCTTTCTCTTTCAATTACTTTTGTTTTCAATTATGTTTTCCTTGATTATTCTTGTTATTGCTTCTTTCACTATGTGTGAATAGTTTTCATATTCCAAGATCTAGGGTACCCCAATTATGATTGATGTATGAATTGATTCTTTAAATTCTCTAATAACTATGGCAATTGTTTTTGCTAAATTGATTGTGATTATGCCAATACTAGATTAGAGATAACTAGTATTGTTATTATTCCATAGTTCTAATCACAACGAGAGTTGGGTTTTAACGGATTTGAGTAGATCAATTTAGGGTTTGAAATTCATCACGAGAGTAGTTGAATTGATAATTGGGAAGTGAAGTAAAGTATTTAATATCTCTAATTTGCATGATTCCATGAAAATAGGCTTGATTGTGGTTATGGAAGCCATTGATACTCGAGAGAGGTCCTTGGTATTGATTAGGGTTGCTTTTCCCCATGTTAATTGGATTTGTATGCTAGGGGTAGATAGATAATTGCATCGACCTTAATTGTGGTGATACTTGATCTTGGATGTTTTAGTTTATTTATTCATTATACTCCTTTGATTTATTCTAGCTTTCCATACATTAGTCCTTAGTTATTTACATCATTGATTTGATTTTTTCTTA